CTGGAGGCACTTCCTAGAGAAAGGTAATGTCAGACCACACAGCCTGACCTCTACCTTTTGCTTTTGTTCACCACAGAGCTTTGTGCGGTGTATGGGGACAGTAGGTCACTTACACACTGCAAGCAAGCATATTGTTAGTGCTGTCTTGCTCTTAGGGTTAGCCCCATTCCCGTCATGTGGGCATCATAGAAACCCATGTGTTGATGAGTGAGTGCACATCACAAAGCTTCTCCTTCTGCATATTATATGGCCCTGCAAGATACCCTTCTCCCTCACCTTGATTTTCATGTTCAGCACCTTGTAGGATGAAACCCAGTATGCTCAGCAAGGTTGATATCAACTCAGAGGTGCAAAGCCTGAGGAACACAAAATAACACTGGGGTTTGGGGAGGCCTGGACCTACAGCCTCACCCAGGGTGAAATGTCTCAGGAAGATCTCCTCTGACCTTCTCTGGTGTTCCCCTGTGGCTGTTCCAGCTCAGCCTCAGGCGTCCATCCAGGCCTGCCCACAGGCTCTGTGCAAAGGGCAGGCGAGCCCTGCCCGCCTGCGCTGCATCTCTGCAGACCTCCCTGGCTCATCGCTCAGCTTCTGAGCAGGGCCATGTCTCTACCTTCTTTCCATTTTCTGGGTTTTTTTTTTTGGTTGGTTTGGTTTTGTCTTTTTTTTAATAGCCTTAGCTGGGACTTCCCTGTGTTCTTCTGTGTGGCTTCTAAGTCCTCTGTTCAGGCCCTTGAATGTCTAAATCTTGCCAATGAATATTGACTTAGCAAGAAGTAAACTGTTTTTCACTAGTCCTTTAGCATTTCTTGATGTCTCTGTACCACAGAATAAACCCATGTTTGTCCTGAAATCCAGAGTCTGGTTCTGAGTCAGACTGGTCTTGACTTTCACACTGGCTTTGGAAAATAAATCCATTAACACATCTCCTGTGGGTATCTTGCTCATCATTGGCTGCAGTTTGTGGCAGGGATTTCTTTGTTATGTTTTGGAGGGCTTTTTTTTTTTTGTATTATGAGATCACTGGTATTGGTATTATATCTGCATCACTCTGGTGGGAGTTAAGCAAAGCTTAGGACTTGTGTTGCCCTAGAAAGCAATGAGATTCATAGGGGATGCTCCAGTGCAACATGCTTCTTGTCGCCTTACCCCAGTTCATACTTTAGGACTGCCCTGTCACTACTTTGGGGAGGTGGGCCAGTGTCCAGCTGAAAGCGATCCTGGCTGACGTGGATTTGGGTGAGGTTCAAGTGGGAAGGAGACTGCTTGAGCGAACTGACTTACGAATGCACTTAGGTCTGTCTTCCTTCTGAGATAGTTTTCCCTCTCTGTGTGCATTCAGAATTCCCGTGGCTCATCAGATGAGATTTTTGTAAGATTGGCCTGAAACCTGCCTTTCTCCATTAATCTAAATCCACATGTCTCGGGAGCGTGTTTGAGAGCTGTTGGTGGAGGAGACAATTCCTGACACGGTGGGACTGGTAAATCCTCAGCCTTGTTCCTGCCGCTGTAATTACTTTCTCATAGTAGGGGATTTTTAGTGTAAGGCCAAGAGAAAGGGATTTAAGCCAGGGCTTGTCAATGGTGTCTTGGAAAAGTGAAGAGGATTTTTGATTTTGTAGTTGATGCTGTGGCGACAAAATTGAAGCATCGGTTTTCATAGCTGACTCATTTAATTAAGTCTCTTAGCTTGTATTTCCCACCTTTTACACTGGATTTTAGCTGGAGATGATGAAGTACCAATCTCACTTGAACATTCTGAAAATTGTATTTAGTAACACTTTTGTCTACTCGCTATTCGCAGCATGCTGTTGATGGTGTTGTGCAATGTATACTGCTGTTCCATTATCAGTATACAAAGCACTATTCATTGGACACTGAATGCCTCAGTCCAGCATTGCATCTAAATAAAAGAACCTTTCTGCTTTTCCATAATTAATGAAGAAACATTTTACAGCCCTGCTGCCAAAGCTGGGCTTAATTATGCAGTGTGCATATCAGGCTGGGCTTCTTGAAGCTACAGGATGCAGCCAGAGTTGGAAGATGATGTTCATCCTTGTAGGCTGTGTCCATGTGAGCGAGTAACGCAGCCTGTAGATTTGCAGAGCAAAGCAGTTGCTGCTGAGAATGTAATGTCTATGCAACACATCTTGCAGGGGAGGTTATCCTGGAGTAACTGTTCCTGCAGGCTGAGCACCTGTCAGGTGTTGGAGTATGTTATGTATGCCCCTGCAGCATCCTCAGGTTTAGGGTCACCCCAGTAGCGTCAGGTTTGTGCACTTCACAAGCTCTCTGCAGTATGAACCAAAGTGGTGAATGGGGCAACGGGGACATTCACTTTTAGAGTAGTCATGCTCAAAACAGAAATGATAATGGCCATTAAATGCAGGTTTTATAGTAGTGATTTTGGTGTCTGGAGCCAAATCTGTTTGTAGAAGCATGGTAGGTTGTTGTCAGTACCAGTTCTGTTGACTCTGGCTTAGGCTGACCGTCGTCTTTGGTTGGAGTGTGGCTCTGTAGGGATGTTCAGAGCTTCTTGGTGCTCATCACAAGTGTTGGACTTCCTCCGCTGGAAGCCCATTCAAGGTGAAGAATATACCTTGTTATAGCTTCCTCAACACTGCTTTATTTGAGTGTGTTTTCTGTGTATATGAATTAGGAGTAAACCAGCAGATCCTACAGAAACATCCTAGCTGTGGAGAGCATCATGTTATCCGACTGCCAAATTCTGAATGAGGACGATGATGCTGGGATGAAGGTGGGATGGCAGAGTGGGCTGAAGAAAATGGCTACAGCCAGTGGGAGCAGCCCTGAGGAGGGTCAGGGATGGGTAATCAGAAAGAACCAGGGCATGAAAATGGTGTGAACCAGCAAAGTGAAGCCTCTGTCACAGTAGGAGGTGGTGCCTATTGACTGGAGAAGGGCAAAGAGATAAATGAGTTTACCTGTGAGAGACTGGCAGATTCACCTGACAGTTTTATTTGATAAGAGACACAGAAAGGTGGAGGAGGTTTTTTTTTGTTTGATTGGGTTTTTTTACTTCTAAGGTTAAATAGAAGAATGATAGCTGTCCTTTATTTTGACTTGAGTAGAGCTTTTGATGTGGTGCCGCGCCAGAAGTTGTTTAAGATGAGAACTAGTAGGAAACTGGCAGAGTGCAAAAGGGACTTTTTAGTGAGAAGTCAGGGACTGGGAGACCAAAACAGACACTGGTAGAGGAGATGGCCACTGGAGTTCTTAGTGATTGCTCTTGGGATGCATCTGTTGCTTCTTATGATGGTTCCTCTTGATGCAACAAGGGTGCTAATGGGATATACTGCTGCTCAGAGGGTGGTTCAGAGGTGAACAGTTCCAGGCAGAGCAAGGGACTGCCCATGTCTCTGGGGCTTGGATCACTTACGTTTGCAAAAGGAAGGCTGAGAGGTTGTGACTGATCTGCAATGGTACACTGGGGTAACCACCCGAGTGGTGAAAGGCCATTCTTGGCACAAAAGCGTGTGACTGAACACTGCCTACCAAAGCATTTTGGCTGGAGAATAGAGGGTTGTTCGTGGAGCTTTCCAACAGTGGAGATAAGGCACCTAGAAATTTTTAAGGGAAGGCCTGATGTTATGCCATGGTTGCCTGTGACAGCTGGGGCTCAACTTGGTGGTGTAAAAAGCAAGATGCTTTTTTGGATTTAGGTACTGCTATGAGGAGGAGCTCTCTAGCCACTCTCTACAGGCAAGGACAATTTTGAAGCAATGTACTTAATTATTTTCAGAAAGAGTAAGGCAAAACTTCCGTACTCGGGCTGTGTCAAGGTCATAAATCTTGAAAGGACAGCCTCCCTCATGGCACTGGTTCCACACATGTCCTCAAGGAGCTGACCCCACTGCTGGCTGTGTGGTTTGACCAATTGTAGCTTTTAGTAAGTGCTGTTACTGTCTGTGTCGGGTGGACGCCTATGCAGATGGTCAAATTTGCAGGCTTGATGGGTTGCATAGCAAAATCCTTCCCATGGTGTAGCGCACTGCAAGATATATGTCTGTCATGGGACGAGAAACTGTGGAAGGATTTCCATCCTCAGAGAGGGATTTGCTTTACCCTGCTGTTAATCCCATCATAAAGCCCTAAGCAGGGAAGCTGCACCTGAACTGCTCACACGGTGAAACTGCTGCACGCCACTATTTGGCTGTGCCAGCAGGTCCATACACAGAGATAGTGCAGTTGCTGAAGTGGGACAGTAGCTGGAAACTCTGTCCCATGGTTTCATTAAATGGCCCTGTCCTGCCATGGTTCTGTCCTGGGTGGGACAGGGAAAGCCAAAGAGCCCCACTGTGCTCTCCCTTCAGTTGTTGCAAATGCGAAATAGCTTAAGCCTTTGCCTCAGCGTCACCACGTTAATAAAACTCAGTTCTGCATGTCCTTTTTCCTAAATTATATCTGTTTCAGTCTCCAGCCTGTGGCTGGAGCTTAGAGAAGGCAAATGTCCCAGTGGGGTCTGTTTGACTGCAAATGGTGGTTGTGCACTAGGGACAGAAGCATGTGTGGTGCCTTATTCTGGGGTGTAATACTCACTACTTAGTTCACCCTGAGACTTAAAAAATATATAGAAGTATGTCTCTCTCTATATGTGTCTGTCTTCTTTTAAATCCCAGCCCAGGAAAACTGCTCTGAAATCTGAAAGATGGGCTTTGCATTTTGGCTTGCCCACTTGTCTGTGGACTGGGTGGTTGTGGAGTGGGGTGGGAGCTGGGGTAGAGTGCTGCGTCTCTCCTGGGATTGCGCAGGGTTTGCAGTGTGACTGGGAGTGGGAAGCAGAAAATGCTTTGGTTTTGTCTGTTTTAATTCCCTGTACTAAGCCTAGGTAAAATGCTGAAGGAGACATTTTGCCGTGTAAAAAGGTGGAAAGTGGGAAGATGCATTTGTTGAGATGTAACAGAGCTGTAGCAGTGTACCTATGCAGTGATGCTGTTTCGGGCAGTGTATCCTTGTCCAGATAATGATGGCAGCATCTTTCTTACAGGCCCAAATACGAAGATGGAGTGTCAGAAAATTATCAATTTTGGAAACCAGCTTCTTCGTCGGAAAAATGTGGACTGCACTCGAGAAGAGAGTCGGCTCTCACGATGCCTCAACACATTTGACTTAGTGGCTCTGGGTGTAGGCAGCACTTTGGGTGCAGGTGTCTATGTACTGGCTGGAGCCGTGGCACGGGAAAACGCAGGACCTGCGATCGTTATCTCTTTCTTGATTGCTGCCTTGGCTTCAGTCCTAGCTGGGCTCTGCTACGGAGAATTTGGAGCTCGAGTTCCTAAGACGGGATCAGCTTATCTCTACAGCTACGTAACTGTGGGCGAGCTGTGGGCCTTCATCACAGGGTGGAATTTAATCCTCTCCTATGTTATCGGTAAGTATGGTGGGTACGCTGCAAGAGCCTAGCTTTAGTCCAGGATGGCAGCCTAGTTTGTAAGATCAGCCTTGTTTGGGTGCCTACGTTACTGTTACAAAATAGGCACTGCGCTCTTGCACTCACTGAAGACTTCAGGACTCATCTGCGGGGTGTGTTGTTGTGTCTCCTGTCAGTCAGAGAGGTGAGTGGTGTGCTCTGGGATGAGAGTTTGTTCTGAAGCTGGATTATTGCTGCTGCGACTTCCTCTGAACTCCACTGGCATCCTTTTGGCATCCCCTGGCTGCTGCAACTTCCTCTGAACTCCACTGGCATCCCTTTGGCATCCCCTGGCCGCTGCATACTTGCCAGGGAGCAAAAGCATGTCCCTTCCGCTGAGAAGGAAGCCACTGCCAGAAGGATGCTTTTACACAGCAGCATCTGTACTCCTGGCTGATCAAGGATTAATTCCTGGTCACTTTGAGATCTGTTTAAAGTACCTGGAGATGAGAGTTTTGTGTTAGAATGGCTGCAAGATTAAGCGTAGGATGATCTGCAGGACCACAGTCTCTGAAACGTCCAAACTAAATCCCTTCTGAGCCCTTGACTCCCACTAGGAGAGGCCTTGGATCAAGCTGAGAGCATGCAGTGTACAACTCAGCTGATATATTAAAACTAAGCCACACTTTGCTAATTAAGGATTCGTGTCTCTTCAAACACATTCTGGGCACGCTCCTTGTCATCATGCCTGTAATTAAGGCTGCAACCAACTTGCCAGTTGAGACTGAAGACTTATTAGTTCAAATAAAAACCAATGTTATGCTAACTTATTAAAGGGAAGTGGGTTTTTTAAAATGCATTTTACCGGATGTGTGTTATCTTGGAGATTAGTTCCTATAGTGCTGGGGAGGCTGAGATATCAAGAACGATACAGTGATGTAGCAGCTTCTTGTCTGAGATCCTGCTGACTCTGCTCTGTGTGCTATCTGAAACCTTTTCCTCCTCCTCTTTTTTTTTTTTTTTTTTTAATTTTTTTTTAAATAAGAAATGAGAGGATGAAAAGCCAGGGTCAATTAAACTCCTCTCCTTAGGAAATCCGAGTCCTGTGGTTCTTCTATGAATCAGGCTCACTGCAAGGAGGGGATAAAAATAGTTTTTAAAAAAAGTAAGCATATGATTTCCTTCGGAATTCTGAAATGGACTCTGCTTAGGCTACAATGTAGAAAAATTGAACAGGCTTCATGGTGATTTATCTTCTGTTCCAGAAAGGTAGCGATAAATTGTCTCCTCCATGCTTCTCATCTAGTTATGTGGCCCTTCCCACCATGATACCGAACCACAAAAATGACTGCCATAGCTGTGGATGCTGTCCCAAAACCTGATTCTGCAAATGTACGATGAGAAGATTTGTATACTGAATGTTACGCTCCCAGAATCTGGGCTGAGGCTGGTATTTCTGAGATTCCTTTTTTTGTCCTCTCATAATGGTTTTTGAACCACTGCCTCAGTTTTTGGCTGCTCAGTGTATTATCACAAGGCAGAAAATTCAGTAAAAAATAAGAAGATACTGTCCGTGAATGTGTTCAAACACAACTTTAATGCAGTCCTGTGACAGAAAAGCGTGCTTGCAACTGGCTTCCTCGTAATTTGAGAGGAAGGGTAGCTAAGCAGGAAAAACAACTGGAGGAGGATATTGGCTGTAACAGGTATCTTTATCTTACTCAGCTTCTCCCTGTGCTAATTGCCCCTCTTGTGAGCCAGGACAACTCCCAGCAGCTTCGAGGGTGTGGACAAAAAAGATGTGTTGGCAGGTACATGCTGCAGTTCAGAGCTGGGGCTTGAGAGGGGCAGAAAGCCAGGTTTTTTTCTCAGTCATGCTGCAGAAAATGCTGTGCAGTGCCACCAAAAACAGACAGGGTGGTGGGAGCTTGCATCTATAAGGGGCTTGGCCACCTTGGTGTTTTCACACTCAGGTTTCTGGACATCTGTTCAGAAAGTGTTATGGGGGTGGAAAAAGAAATCCTGGGGTCCCTGGATGAGTGGCCAATAGCTTGTAATTAATTGAAGTGACTTGGCTCAGGGGAAGACTGATGTGGGGTCTTGGAGATTGGTGACAAGAAAAAATTGGAATGCAACTCATCAGTTGTGGTCTAGGCAGAAGGAAGAAGGTGTCCAGGACCGGAACAGAAGCGTCTCAAATCAGGTCTGTTCTGCAGCTTGTTTTGCAGTGTTGCAAAGCCGAATTGGGGTGGTAAGTGTTCCCAGCTTTGCTGCAGGTGCTGCCCGCCGCTGCTGCAGAGGATTTAGCTGTAGGGGAGCATAGACGTTGCATGATACGATTGCAGGTGCCGGAGCTGGGACCTGAACACCCGCCTGCAGGTGCGTGTGTCAGGACAAACTGTTCTAGGTAGAAGGGGGCCCCTGACGGCGTCCTCTGAGGAACTGCTCTGCAAACCAAAACCAAACTAACCTCTTTTTTTAACTAGGTAATTAGGTACAGTAATAATTATATCATGCAATTAGATGCTGTTATATTTAGTGTACTTTATAAGACATCGGGAGTATAATGACAGCCACTTCAATGCAGGAGAGGGAGAAGTTGGCTGTTACCCAAACCTACTTATTTTACACAATGCTGTTGCTGTCTGATGGTAGCTTTTCATTGTTACTGTTTCAGTTCTCTGCAAGGACTCTTCTGGCCCAGACAATGTCCTGGACCTGGTCCCCAGGTTCAGTCCTCACCCCAGCAAGCTGTGCATGGTTTGGTGCTCTCGGGAACCGCAGCAAACAGCGGCCCCAGAGGGGGAAGTCTAAGCACTTTGTGCAGGCGGGAGTCATGCCACTTGCTGGAATCATCACCAGCATCCTGCAGTAAGCTGACTTATGCTTAGATAACCTATAATTTATATCTGAGTCTTTATCCCACTCAGGTGCTCTAGCACCAGAGGTTGGAGAAGACCTGCACGTTGCTGGAGTGCAGTGCTTGCAGGACTGGATGAGTGTTGTGGTCCAGGCTCTGCTGCCAGAGGCTGTCTGGCTTCTGTAAGGTCCCTCTGCCTGGGCGGTGGTCGCCTGGCTGGGGCTGCCAGGGATTTCTGCTGGTATGAGAAGATACTCAGACCTCTCTAGTAGCAGAAATCACCAGGTTTGGGGGAAGTTCAGGTTGCTGGGGGCATAAGGAAAAAGTCAGTCTAGGCTGAGTCTTAAGGCAAAGTCAGTATTTACTAAGCAGCCAAACCACTATAAGGATTTTTTTAATCTTGTCAGCTGAGTAGGAGTCTGAGCCCCACCACCTGTGTGTGTGTTACCATCAACGCAGATGCCAGGCATGGATACAGGCTGCAGGCTGGACCTGCAGAGGAATAGCTGCTCCCAGCTCCCAGGGAGACCATGCAAGGTTGCTTTGAGGCCCGCCATGGCCAAGAGCCCTGCAGGGTGCCCCGTGTTTGGAACGTGTGCCAGACATGAAGGGTGATCTGCATCCTTTCTGTCCTCTGGCAGGAACATCGAGTGTGGCCAGAGCCTGGAGCGCGACGTTTGATGAAATCATAGGCAACCACATTGAAGAATTTTGTAGGAAATACATGACGATGGATGCACCTGGAGTGCTAGCAAAATACCCAGACATCTTTGCCGTGGTGATAATCATCATCCTAACAGGTAAAACCTTGGAGAGGTTTATGACTCTTAGACCTCCTTCTTCTGTAATTTCATTGTTTGCTTTTGGAATAGGCACAAAGTCCTGATTTATTTTGGACAACATATTAAAGGCTCTTTCTTTTCTCCAAGTGTTGGATTGACCTATATAGCTGCTGTGGAGTTAGCATGGGGCATAGCCTGTTTAGAAAGTTTTTAATTAGAGGGGAGCATTCTTGATATTTTTTGAGCCACTTTAAAAATCTTCAGTCAAATTTTATATAAGGAAGAAAAGAAAAGATGATTTGTTATCCTCAATCAGGTATGGAAGTTTAATACTTCCCTCCACAAATCCTATTATATACAATAATTTCATTCTGTTGCTCTACCAACCTTATTCCCCCTTTGATAATCTGCCAGTTTTCTGTGCCTTGAGCCAGGAAAGTGAGGAAAAAAATACAGGACATAGTAACAACATCAGGTACTACTGTTTTGGTTGTTTTTTTATTTTTAAATACATATGGGCTTCAGCTTGCAGCAGTGAATGCAAGACTCCGGATAAATAAATCTGCGATAAACTATCAGGTCCTCTTTTTTTTCTGAAAAACTGCCACGGCTTTGATGAGAATTTGAAAAAGACTTGAAAATTTGCAAAATTAAAATTATTCTGAACTCTTACCTCTGCTCCAACTGGATCTTGCAAAGCATAGCCAAATTTAGGCAAATCTAAAAATTTGTTCTTCTCGCATACCTCTGTCTGGTTTCCAGAACGTAGAAGTGGCAGTATCACCCTAACAACGTTATCCCGACATTTCACACTCTGATCTGACTGTCTCAGAATGTGAACTGTGCTCATGGGGACAGGCTTCATAAGCAAGGGATGCTTTGCCATCTGGGTTTGCATTTGCATCTAAGCCTATATCGAGGACTGCTGAAGTCAATAGCAGCCACACTGTATCTGAATGGGATTTTGCTCTTTGTTCGTTTTTATGTAATAGGAATTACTCTAGTTTCAAATTAGAATCTGGTGTTTCACCTCAGATACAGTTTGGGACTCCTCACTTTAGCATTACCGAGGCGCAAATTATACAAATTACTAATGGCTTTATTCCCCTGCATGGAGCAAATTCCCTGGATTTTAATAAAAAATGCAAACCATTGTTTTCTACAAAAAGCTGCTGGATGAGCAGCTTGAGCCCCAAATATAAGCACTGCAAGTTTATTTCTGCTTGCACTGTCTTGAGCTTCAGATTTCTACAAGCTACCTTACAGGTTTTCTTGGACAAGTACGCAGTTTTATTAAATGCTCCCCTGATGAAGCTGTCTCATCTTATTTCCTCTTTTCAAAGAAGGAAAGTTGAGTGCACGGGATTCTCCCTACTCCTTGAAGTGCCTTGGACTAGCAATAAGGACACTGTGTTGTGCTTCTGTTCCCTCAGGCCTGTGTGAAGTTTTTTTTTTATCTTCTCCCTCAGACGCCTTCTTAGATTTGGGTTAAAGCTTTGGGTTCTTGAAAATCAGTCACCTGAAGAGCAAATACAAGTTACCAGAGCTTGTCGTTCTGAGAAGCCAAGCTGTGCCTCAGTGAGATGCTGGTTGCCAAAGCCTGTAAACGTGCTGCTCTTCAGATGGATGCTCTTAAGACTACAGGCTGAAATCCTGCTTTTGCTGAACTCACTGGCAAAGCTCCTGCTGATTTAAATGGGAGCAGGATTCCCAAGGTGCCACCTTCTTTTGTGTCTTCAGCACTAGAAGTAGCTGTCTTCCTGGATTCGGTCCCTGCTCATATTTTCCCCTGCTTCTAAGGAAAGTTGAATGTTGTTCATAACTTCTGCATGTGGCCAAGACCTCTAAGACAATGTCCCTTTATGTAAAACCACCTGGGGTGCTTTCTCCAGGTCTCTGAGTGGAGTTTGAGGCTGTATCTAGGTGGCACAGCATAGTGCCATGAGGTGGCCAGAACTGGCGTTGAAAGCGCTGGAAGCAGCTTAGCTATGTTAGCAAAGCACTTTACCAGGAGCACGTGCCAAATGGGCATGCTGGGTGGGAAGGTGTGTCGCTTCCCAAAGTAGTAATGTCTGGGCTGGAGTCCTTGTCCTCCTGGGTGAGTTAATCCTGACCTACCTGACCTACTTGGCTTTGTGGATAAATGAGGTGTGATAAGTTGGGCAGAGCACAGCATGAACAGAGCTGGGATACCTCTGCAAGTCCCCAGTGCCTGCTGCTGGTGATGAAGTACCTGACTGCCTGTCCGCCATTTTTTCCCCAGGGCTTTTAATTTTTGGTGTGAAGGAATCTGCCCTGGTGAACAAAGTGTTCACCTGCATCAACATCCTCGTCCTCGGCTTTGTCATGGTCTCCGGCTTTGTGAAAGGGTCTATTAAAAACTGGCAGCTGACTGAGCAGAACATTTACGTCACCAACCACAGCATTTACAGAGACAAGTAGGTTGGATCTTTCCTTCTCAGGTCTGAAATTGATGCATTTTCAATGGCAAATTTTTAGGGGGGCTTGTGGAGTGATTTAGAAAACCAGTGAATGGGGTGGCTCCCTCCTTTGCCAAATGCCTTGGAGGCAAAGCTGATTTCAGTGGGTGTGTGCTGAAAGCAGGCTGTGCTAACGGGCTGAAACTGGTAGGAGGTAAGCTGTGTCAATGTGGGCCCTGCTGCAGAACTGACCAATTTCAGCCTCATGACCAATCTGGCATCCAAATTTGGGAGAAAAGAGCTTTTTAGACAACCTACTCAAGGGTACACCAGGCTGGCTCTGGTGCCTGTGTGAAGCCATGACCAAGCATAGCTCTGTAGTTTCTTTGGACACTTTGACAGTATCCTTGAGGCACCGTTGTACCTTTTGGAGACCTTGTCCCAAGTGCCTCAGTAAAATAAAGGCAACTTGCAGCTTGTATTAATGTGTTGCAGCAAGCATAGCATGAATCTGTTTTTAATGACATTTTGCTACTTGGCCAAAATCCTGACTTCCTATACAGGATCAAAATTAAGATGCTTACAAGGGTTGCCAGTGATACAAAGTTGTTTATTTTTGCTTGAGACTGTATAACACAGAATGAGGGCCTTGAAATATTTCCATGTACATTAACTCAGTCCTGGCTTGCTCTCTAAACGCTTTCTGCTGGCCTGCAAGGACGCACAGTTTGGCAAAAACTGGAGAGATTCATAAATGTTGCATGGGTCAAGTCTGGCTTGTGTACAAGCCACTTATTGAACGTCTCTGCAAAATTCAGTCTGCTGTGAACAAATTGCTTCCATAGGAAGGGTCCCCCTTCCTTCCCTACTGCTATTCCCATGCAAGGAGCAATTAGTGCAATAGCTTCAAAGTGTAACTGTAGCTCTTTGACCCGTAGCACTTACTATTTTTGTAAAATCTGTCTGGGGTTTACTTTACTTTATCGTTCTTTGCAGAGTAATCCACATTTGGGCTGTGCTATTTCTGCAAATAACAGGCCAGTTTTCATCTAAGTCTCAACAGAGCTTCTACGAGAGAGTTCAGATGCTTACACCTGATAAGACTTGCAGATTTGGGATTTACTTTAATTTAATTGCCTTAATTCATCTTTAAAAAGGCTTTTCCCTAAAAAAGTTACCTAAGTCACTTGAACTGAAGGGTGACTCAACGCACACATGGATCTGGGGTCCTGATCCAGAGTACACTGGGATCAGTATGCGTGTCTTTGTTTACTTTAGTGACCTTTAGATGAGGCTTAGCAAAGCATTTGGTGCATCAGGGATGCAGTCTCCTCTTATCCCTCAGGGTCACAAGCATGGCTTGGGTATGAGCTTGGCACAGGGAATTTTGAAATTGAGAATGGAGGATTGTGTGGATTTTAGACAGTCATGGCACTCTCCATTGCTCTCTGATGTCTACTCACCTGCACTTTATCTAAAGTCCATCTTAGGTGAAAAGTGGATGGTTTACATGTTTCTCAGTCTTCAGCTTTCAGAATTACATGTTGTGCTTTTTCGAAAGCTTATTTTAAATGAATACATGTATCTACACACCTGCAGTAATATTAGGAGAGGAATTTTAATATTCATGCTATTTTCTCCCTGTCTTAGCCCAGACATTTTCATTTGCCCCAAAAAACAGGTGGTAGGAACAAACAATGAACCATTTTTATTCCGTGCATTGCCTGGGCTGTTGCAGGCCAATCCAAAGCTCAACAGTGGGTAGGGCTTAGCATTTTGCCTGGTATTTGTATGCTAGCATATGAAAGGGAGAGCGTGTTCCTTCAAACCCTAACTTTGGATTTTGTTATGAGCTATATGAATAGTTTTGTTACTCCCACCTAGGCAGGATGACTTCTAACCCAATGCCATGCTTTTTAGTCAAACAGATGAAGAAATGCTCTATGGTGTTGGAGGGTTTATGCCCTATGGATGGAAAGGAGTCCTCTCAGGGGCAGCCACATGTTTTTATGCTTTCGTGGGCTTTGACTGTATCGCTACTACAGGTAAGAGGGAAGATGTTTTCATTCCAGTTATGAACCTGGTGGCTGGTAGATTAGCTTTCAGTAATGTTACACAGCACAGATAATGAGTAAATCAGGTCACTGCATTCATCATCCCTCTGAACTTCAGCCCAAAATGTACTTTTGGCTCAGCTGCTCCTAATAGTCAAAGTGCTGAGTATGTCCAAGTCCCTGGGTGCTTGAATGTTGACTTCTAGCTGCTTTGGCAGGCAGCTAGACTGTATAACCCACAAAACGAGCTTTTTTCTTTCTTTGCCTGCAGGGCCCAATCTCATGGATGGTCACTGATGACACTAACCAGGTCAGACTCCACAGAAAACACATCCAGCTTTACCAGTTAGGCAAAATAGGGAAGGTCCAGGTTCAGATGCCTTGTATGACTGGTGAAGTTTGAACCTTTGACTCCAGATGATGCTTTAATCAACAGATTATTCTGGGGTAGAGTTTTTCAGTGCCTTCAGATGAAGAAGCTCCACTGGTATTTAAAGAGCCAGAGAAAGGGAGAGCCTCTGGGGAGTCATCTGCAGCCTTAAGCTGTGACTCAAAATCAGGAGAAGTTTTTATCTCTAAAGGTTCAGAGAACTTCTGAGAGAGAAAGCATCAGCACTGTCGTATTTCTTCTGGTTAAGAAGAATCTTAATTCCCTGGAGAAAGGGAGGATTATCCTTAATTTCACGTTTGGCAAGACCTGAGTTGCTTCAAAGCTGGAGGGAGGAGGAGATTGTCACAAAGGCAGATAAAGCAGTACTCCCTCTTGTTCCAAGGAGTTTGAAAAGTGCTGACTCCATTGCTCCAGGCAGCCCTAGCGTTTCTACTTGAAGGAGATATACATTCATCTGCCTTTAACTTATAGGTGTATGGATCTCTGCTTATCAGTTCATCCTCCTGAAGTGCCAAACCTCAGGAGCTCTTGCTTTCAAAGAAGAGCAGCTTTGCAGGACAGGGAAGGCTCAAAGCTGTTTCTCAGTTAATCAGTGCCTGAATTTTGAGGGTTTTTTTTTAACACATTTGTCCCAATTTCATTGTCGAAAATTTTCAAAAAAAACTAGAGGGAGTCCTTTTTTTTTCAGAGTGATTTTCAAAGATCCGTGTGATTTTCAGGTGCTGTGCAAAGTCTGCCTCTCCCTGGAACCGGGCACCTAAGGTGCCGCGTTCACTGTGTAGTAGTTCCGGGGGAGATGCTAACTCAAATGGTCACCCAAGGATTAGCCCTACAACTGCACAATAATTTCTTGTCCCATCATTTGTGATGATTGAACTTGGGGCTGCACCATCAGTGGGATAGCAGCATTAATTGGAGGTAAAAATAATCCTATTTGGGGAAAAGACTGGTTTTTATCCAGATCATTTTGTGCCTGAGTTTACAAGACCTCCACAAATGTTTCTCAGGAGCGACAGCAGCAGCAGCAGTGGGAGCAGACAGGCTGTGGTATGCCAAGTGGATGAGGCAGGCCATCAGCAGCATCATAGTCAAACAGCGCCTCACTGCCCACAAAGCCTTTGGAAGCCCCAGCTAGCGTGCCCTAGGTTGGGGTAAAGTTCTTGCTCATTGTTTAGCTGATGTTTCTATTTCTTTCTTCTAGGCGAGGAGGTAAAAAACCCTCAGAAGGCCATTCCTATTGGCATCGTGGCATCTCTGCTCATCTGCTTCGTGGCTTATTTTGGTGTGTCAGCTGCCCTGACGCTCATGATGCCTTACTACCAGCTGGATACCAATAGCCCTTTACCCAATGCCTTTAAATATGTGGGTTGGGATGGAGCCAATTACGCAGTAGCTGTCGGTTCCTTGTGTGCACTTTCTACGAGGTGAGACACTGCTCTTCCTTTGTGCATCTCTCAAGGCAAACATGCATCTCCAGCTCCTTTTAAAAAATGGTGCATGTCAGGGCTTTGCCTTCATTGTGTTCCCCTGGGTCAAGGGGGCTGGGATCAGGGTTGAAATTCAGAGCTATTGACTTCAAAAGGACCAGGATTTCACCCTGTGATAGATTCCAGAGATGCACGTGACCAGTGTCACTTCAGAAACTCCCATTTTAGCAGCAGACACAGCAGGTGCATCTCTGGAATGTAAATCTGGATTGAGTGACTAAGTCATGGAAGCAACTCCACAGGGCAGGCATGATTTGCCCACAAGACATCCCAGCCTGCTGGGTGGCGAGCAGACTTGTGTGAGGTGCAGGGTGCATCTTCTGGAGCATATGGGGCTTACCATGTCCAGGGCCGTCTGTCTGCAGGTTGCTTACAGGACAGCCATCTGGATGGAAGGCAGGGCAGGCTGGAGGCAGGCTATGTCCTGTACCCCCTGCACTCTGGAGGCCTGTTGTTTCAGATCAACTTAAACACATTCAATTAGGTGAGCAACTCTTAGAGGCTCATAGAAGTTGCATCTCTTACGCTACCTGAAAGTCAGACCATTTTCACACCCCGTGGCTCTAAGTTTGGGTATCCAAAAATCTTAGAGCTGCACCTCAGTTGCCAGCTATCAGTAACACAGGTGTGCAGAGGGAGCCCTCAAGGAGAAGCTGAAGTGAACAAAAGCCACCTGTTCTGTGTTTGTACTGCCATAAACTTGCTTTTGTTTGTGTGCCTGTGCTCAGCAGGAGGTGATACAGGTAGACTATTTCCTTCTTCTGTGTCCTTAGTCTCCTTGGCTCCATGTTCCCAATGCCTCGAATAATTTATGCTATGGCAGAAGATGGACTTCTCTTTAAATTTTTGGCTAAGGTCAACGAGAAGAGAAAAACTCCAGTAATTGCAACAGTGACATCAGGGGCCGTTGCAGGTAAGATCCAAAGACTTGCACAAACGTGTGGAAAGGAGACATAAGGTCGTCCTTGGGGCAGATAAGTCCGTGTGACTCTAGCCCACTTATTAATTGGATGTCTTGCACAGCACGACATCCCCCCCGGAGGGTGCCTTGGGTTTCCAGGGCATGCCCTGGAGGGATGGGTCCCTCTTTCTCAGAGCTCATTGCTGCCATTCCTGTCTCATGCTGAGAATTGCCTTCACCTGCTCCCTGGGTGCTCTGCTGGCCTTAAAAGTAGTTAACCCCCTGCAAGGTGGCAGCCAGCGGTGCCCCAGCATCCTTGTTTGTTGGGCTGGCTTGGCTGAAGACACCGCACTGCCTGTGGATTGCGGCTCAGCAGAAGGTGCCAGAGCAGCCGGAGACAGGCAGATGGTCCCTGTGGCACTGGCGTTTGTTAATCAGTTAGTCACAGCTGGCAGCCATCCTGTTCTCCCCTTCCCTCTCCCGGCCCCCAGGAATATGGGAATTAAACCTCCCAATGGCAAGGATGAGCAGCTTTACCCTCTTCTTGCAGCCACCCCCTTCCTCACGATGCCTTGCAAAGAGGAGAGCCTTGCTGCTTCCTCTTTACCTGCTGCTGCAAATGCAGGATGAGCCATTGGTATAACATGGTGGTCATGTTGGGTCATATTTACTTCTACTAGTTTGGGAGGAGGCAGAGATAAAGTGACTCTTCTGCGGGAGGCTGTGCTGGTTTATTTATTAGAGGAGGCCATTCTGCATCCCGCAGCAGCTGGGCCATGCTCGTCTCCAGGAGGGATTTGTAGCACGTGTTTGACCTGCGGATGCACATGGAGCAGCCCCGGCACAGCCCCGCTGCCATGGAGGACTGGAGCCACCCCCAGCGCTGCGCTGGGAAGGATCATAGGATCATAGAGTGGTTTGGGTTGGAAGGGACCTTAAAGATCATCTAGTTCCAAGCCCCTGCCATGGGCAGGGACACTTCCCACCAGGCCAGGTG